TCTATTTTAATTATTAATTTGCATTTAGATAATAAATCCAGTTACAGCATGGTTGTGAAATTTACTTCGAATATGATTTCATTAACAAATTTTTGGTAAAGAAGTCACAATAAAATACTTCTTTAATGAATTAAACTTCTGATTTTTATTACTTTTATTCTAATGGTATGTGGTAGAGCTAAAGACCATAGGCAGCTAATTCTGAAGCAGCGATGAACCTTTAGATAATTAATTAACCTCCATTTACATAATGGTCTTATTATTTTCATAGTTAATGGACTGAGGATTGATTACAGGCCATTAACAGTTATTAATTAATGAAACTGGATTTGAAATACAATTTCAAACACATGTATTTCAAACTTAAGAGGCAAAAGTCAGTCATGAAATGTTAATAACAATATTCAAAGCATCAGGCATTAAACAAACTAACATTTAGCTTTTAGACTTTCTGTTTTTCTGAGAGGATAATTCATGAATTCTTTAATTGGTCTCACCTTTACATGCATACTGGGACACATGCAAGTATACATGTGTGAATTAGATAAATTTTTATTAGCCTTAGATTTACATTTCAATTACAATAATGGGAGCTAGTTGTACTATATTCAAGTATAAAAACTTAATGTATCTCTATTCCTAGATATCATAGGTATTTATTGAGAAATTTCAGGTTCTACCACCCAAATATTTAAAACTAACTGTTCATTTGTTTCAAAGAAAGATTACAGCAATAGTTTTCATTTAATCTTTCCCATTTATTTGGATTTGCAATAAGATAGGTTACATTATATAATTTAGAGCTATTCTAAACTTTGGACTCCTCATATAACCAATTCAATTTACAATTTGAAGCATCCTCTCTATTTAAAAAAAACAAAAAAACATACTTGCCTGCAGTTGAAAGAGTTTAAAAACTCGATGAACTAGTCGGCTATTTTTAAACAATTTAATTATGCAGATGATGCATAATTATTGAGGACAAATTAGTTCTTTTAATTTCAAAGACACATTGTATAATCTGATTTTTCAAATAATTTGTACCTTCACAAGCGACTATGCAGCCTTCTACACTAAATCAGTAAATGAGGTGTGCATTAAATTAAAATGAGGGATTTATTTTCATGGTCATCAATTGCTCCCATTTTGATCTCTCTTCTCTCACGCTGCCTGGGCTTTCTGGCTCTGAATCTCCTTCTCTCTTCTTTTTTCCTCTTCCCCCTTTAAATATGCTGATTGATGGAATGCTATGATATAATGTCCAGGAATGGTTCCAAGGTAAGTGTTTCAGATCCTGTTCCCCACTTTGCACTCTTACTAGGCCTCTATTGTATCTATTAACAGTTAAATTAAATCTGGTTTTCTTGAGTCTTCTAGATTTTAAAAGAGTTGCTGTGATTACAAAAAAAAAATGAATTGTTAAGTGCAAAAGAGTATTACCTCAATAAATGGAAAAGAATAGCATTTCTCTCATTATTTGTAAAATCTCTTAAAATCTGTGTCATCCCCCTTCACAAATAGGCTTTTACTTGCTTCTCTATGTGGGTAAACTACAGGGAGTCCCAAAAGTCACCATACATAGAGAAAATGAGAAACTGTAGCTAAATGTACCTTTATTTACAAAATATTCATTACAAAATTTTTCCTTTGTATGGAGACTTTTGAGACACCCTGTATATTATGCTGATATGTTAAGAAACAATTTGGAGTCAAAATATGTGGGCTTAAATCTCTGATTCTTCAATTACTATTTTTTTTTAATTACTTAATCTTTTCTTGTCTTTGTAAAATGGGGTAATAAATCTCATCTCATATAGATATGTGTAGACTAAATATGATGTTATATATAAATTACAATAACTGTTAGTCACTAATTTTAGATGATTTTTCTCCTGCTTTAAGAAAATACGTTAAGTACAAGAAGGCACACAACACAGGCAAAGTCTTGCAGTCATCCACTGACAATATGTATCCCCAGTATTTATCCAGAGCCTCACTGTGGGATTAAGAATGAGGTTTATTGTTTAATACGCACAGATAATGGTGATATTTTAACAATATTGTATACAAAATTTGAAAACAGTGCGTTATTGACTTGACATTTCACGAGTATGAAATCACTCCCTGCATTTTCATACATCAGCTGTCGAAATGAGTGGGCAGTCATCTGCCAAATATTAATAACTTTCCTATCTTCTCCACTGAGAATGTTATTTTATACAAATGTATTTCATTAGAAATCAGCAAAAACACCATAAAATCCTTTTAAAACCCTTCAGTAGTGTAACTTACTTTTTGAAGGAACTCGGAGATTGGCAAGGACCACTTCCAGGGAATCAGCTTGGACTCGAAGTACATAGCTTGTCCTGGTCTCATAATCCAGAGGGGCATTCACGTAGATAACGCCTGTGACGTTATTAATTCCAAACTTATCTAGAATTTGAAACATAATTGCTTGGTCATTTTCTTTACATCCTAAGGAAAGAAATTCTCTTTAAAAGGCACTATAATTTCGAAAACACTAAAAACACTTATTTGTAACTACAGTAATGCATAAAAGTGACACACTGCTGGCTTTTGGAAACTGTTTCAGCTCTTGAAATGATCACAGTGTTTCCCTAAATACTGCCTTGAAATTATAGTTTTTGTTTTGTGTTGTTTTGAGATTCTCCTGGAAATCAATGTTTCTATGGTCAATTACATTTGGGAAGCACTGAATAATATATCTCTCATCATAGATTCAGATGGTCTTCTACCATACTAAAAGCTTTCAGTCCATGGCTTTCAGAAATTCTATTTTAAAGAAAACCATTTAATTTTGTTTAACCAAATATTTTCTGATCTTACTGAATTATTATACTTTTTATGATTTAATGAATCTTACTATCTTGTAGATTTAGTTTTCTGCTAAGAACACTTTAGAAAATGAACTGATAATTTAATATGTTGGGGTTTTTAGAAAAAATGATTTATTATTCTAAATATCTTAAAATATTTTGCCCTTATGTCTATTTTTTATAAATTTCTACATAATACATTTGAGTGAAAAGCAGGGTACTTTAATAAACTATATACTATCCCATCTCTTGCATTCTCCATGTTATTCCTCATTTTATTTTTTTCCGTGGCATTGACCACTTATAATACTATGTATTTATTTGTTTAATAGTTTTTATTTTCTATTTCCTCTTATTGGATTGTTAAAATTTATGAAGGCAGGGATCTACCCTTAGTGGCTGGAAGAGTACTTAGTACATAATAGATGCTCAGTAAATATTTGCCGAATGAATTAATAAATGAATTGAATGTAAAACAGTCATTGCGGGAAGAGAGGTTAAAAAATTCAGCCACTCTGCTATCTTCAAGAAAAAGAACACATAGAGTCAAAAAGAGAAAGTATCAGAACAGGTTGAGAAATCATAGCTTTAGTCAGATGTTGGAAGTTCAAGACAAAGGGAAGTTCAATGATATTTAGGGAGGAGGCATAGGAACACAGCAGGAACACAGAAGAGAGGCAATAAAAGTAAGATGTGGAACACTTGCTGCATTGTATGGGCAGTGATTTCTAGTAATGGTCATTAAAATCCTTTAAAAGGCCTTTATAATTTCCTTGAAAACTGCTTGGCAGTATTTATATTCATTTATTTTAAAAATATTTAATATTAATTAATTTGTTAGATACATTAGGATGTTAACCAATTCTTGGCTATATACAATATGCCAAGCTAGCTAGCGTTTCAAAGAGGAAAACACAGGACAGCCAACCTATGGATAATAGGTGAAACAAAGAATCAGTGAGAAAAACTGAACTATGGACTCATTCCCAGAGGCCAGGAAACTACTATAATTCTTAAAGTGACTGGTAGACAAAACTCAAAATATTTGTTTCCTTATAATCATTAATTGCATGTCGAATTTGACTGCTTGGGGAATCATATTGTATAGTGTACATGGCTTTTAACATATATGTAGCCTTTTTCACACTCATTTATGATTTTGAAATTTCTTCAGAAATTAGTTAAGCTATGACATAGATGGTACAAACAGTGGGAAGAGACTACTGCAAGCAATAATTCTGACTAAAAGCCAAAAATATGATGTATTAATTTTGAAAAAGTATCATTAAATATTTCCATATGCAGGGAAGAGGAAGGCTTCTAGAATTATATATTTAGTATTTCTTAAGGGAAAAAATCACTTCTGCTAACATAACTAGATTTTTAATCAAGTTCAGCATAAAAAGTTATCAATCACATTTAAGATGAGCATAATTTTATTAGGGAAAACTAGGATAAATAACAATAATTTAATCTAAAATTAGTCCAATTCTAAGTTTATTGGTTTATGGTGAAAACACAGACTAAAATTCTCACCTTCTTCATTTCCTGAAACAATGGAGTACACAATGCTCTGATTAATGGCTGCAGCAGAAATTACACCAACCATCGTCCCTTTGGTGGCAAGTTCACTTACTGGAGGAGGTCTGCAGGTTTAGAGAAGATTATTTATTATTTTTAAGGCCTTTTTTTTTTTTTTTGAGACAGAGTCTGGCTCTGTTGCCCGGGCTAGAGTGCCGTGGCGTCATCCTAGCTCACAGCAACCTCAAACTCCTGGGCTCAAGCGATCCTCCTGCCTCAGCCTCCCGAGCAGCTGGGACTACAAGCATGCACCACCATGCCCGGCTAATTTTAAGGCCATTTTTTAAAGTAACTTTAGGTGCACAGAAAAAGTGAAAGAAAGGTAAAGATTCCCCATATGCCCTCTGCCCCAACACATGCATAATCTCCTTTACTATCAAATCTCCCACCAGAGTGGTACATTTGTTACAATCAATGAACCGACATCGATGCTTTGTAATCATCCCAAGTCTATAGCTTACATTAGGGTACACCTTAGTGTTGTACATTCTATAGGTTTGGACAAATATATAATGACTTGTATTCACTATTATAGGATCATACTGAGTATTCTCACTTTCCTAAAAATCCTCTGTGATACATCTATTCATCTCTTCTCCAACACAAGCCCTGCAAACTACTGATCTTTCACGTCTCCATGGTTTTGTCATATAGTTGGAATCGTGCAGTATATAGCCTTTTCAGACTGTTACTTCTTTCACTCAGTAGTGTGCATTTAATGATCCTCCATGTCTTTCCATGGCTTAATATTACATTTCTTTTTAGTGCTACATAATCCATTATCTGGATGTACCACAGTTTATTTCCATAAATAAGGACATCTTGGTTGTTTCCAAGTTTTGGCAATTATGACTAAAGCTGTTATAAACAACCCTGTGTAGATTTTTGGGTGACCATAAGTTTTCAACTCCTTTGGGTAAATACCAAAAAGTGTGATTGCTGGAGTGTATGGTAATACTATGTTTAATTTTGTAAGAAATTGCCAAACTGTCTTCCAAAGTTGCAATAACATTTTATATTCCTGCCAGCAACGAGTCAGAGTTCCTGTTGCTCCACGTTCTCACCAGTATTTGGTGTTGTCAATATTCTGGATTTTGGCCATGCTAATAGGTGTGTAGTGGTATTTATTTGGTTTTTGTCATTTGGTTTGTAATGATAGAATTTTGAATTTAATAATAGAATGTGTATAGTATTATACATATATGTGTATGTTTATTTGAATAATACTATTATCTGAAGTTTTCAAGGAAGTACTACATTAAGACTTTATGCTCAACAATCTGTGTTCACAATTATGCAAATCCTTTTGGTTAAGAATGTCATATCATCTGCATTATTTTTAATTAAATTGTATCATAATACTACTGTATTATCTGTCTTATGTCATACAAAATTTTTTTCACTTGTCTCCAAAGTAACTTCTGGACTGAAATCAATGGAGGAAATTTGCTACCTCATCCTGCTAAAGTAAAATGCTACTCTTATGTTGTTGATTGAGCATATTTAAGCAAAGGGCTTCCACATGTCTTTTCTAGTCCTTATTCCTGACCTACTGCAAAGCTCTAACTGTACCAAAAGTATTTGATGGGCTGGCATCACAAAATTTCTATTTCCTTTGAATTCTCTTATTTTGCTTCATGATAGCCATGTCATGCCCCTAGTACTATGGTATCTATCTAATTCTAAAATATATTTTTCAACGATACATTATTTTACTTTCAAAATCTCAATTTCATTTTTATAATTATTGGTTACTGTACCTAGGCTATCATAACTTTATCTTCATAAATTAATGCCAAATAATCTCTTTTATAATTCACGGGTATTTATATCATCCATTTGCAATAGATTTAGAAAATTATTAAATACAATATCTTATCAACATCTCTGGATCTTTTGTAGTCCTGTCACTATAACATATCTGACTTCCGTAAGCTTTAGCTTTTTTTCTCAAGCTCATAAGACAAATCATATTGCCATTTCTTTCATATAATCTTTTTCCTGCAGTAGTTATTCTTTTCATATTACCCCTCATTTTTCTCTCCATCCTTTCAGTTCTAATCTAGATTAGATTACACTTTCATTGAAGCCTTTTATAACAAATTTGGAACTACAAATCTAGCCTGTAAAAAATAATTATTTACAACACATTATAAACATCTTGTCCAAATTGTCTTGTTCTTTGCCATTGTAGTTCATATGCTTGCTTGACTAGGTTATCTAAATGTAAAGCAATCTCTCTCATAGACACTACAGCACCAAAAGGTGGTCCATATATTCTTTGCATGCCAAATAACTATTTGTTGCTAAAAAATAAGAACCAACCTATATCACTTTTAATGAAATGTATAAAGTAGCTATTTATTTATTTACTTATTTATTTTACTCCTCTGAATGTCTTCTGCCTTCTTTTAATAACAACATCCGCATGCCTCTCAATTCTAAGTGGTTTGGGTAGGGGCAACCCAATTCCCGGGTATATGGATAGACACATTAACCATCTCTGGCCAACTGAGAGTGTTTTATCTTTTGCTTAATGTTCATGTGAGATATATGTGTCATGCAAAGTCACTGAATATGCTATATAAGGCTGTAACTTGTAACCTCCTTCTTGCTAGCAGATTCTATCAACTATTGTCTCTTGCTGGATTTGATGAAGTAAGCTGCCATATGGAGTGGTCCACATGGCAAGAAACTGAGGATGTCTGACCACCAGCCAGTAAGAAATTGAGGCCTTCAGTCCAACATCCCACAAGGAACTGAATCCTGCTAACAGCCACATGAACTTGGAAGTGGACCTTTCTCTAGTTGAGCTTCAGGTGAGACTCTCGCCCTGGCTGACATCTTATGCAAGACCATAAACCATAAGACACAGCTATCTCATGTCTGGATTCCTGACCCATAGAAACTTCAAGTTGATAAGTGTGTGGTAATATTGTCATACTACAATAGATAACTATTATGAATGGCTTGACTACAGCAATGGATTGTTAACTTCTGACAGATCAAATTACATACTACTTATTCAAAAGTTTAATACAAGAAAACATATTTTTGTTCTATTCTGGGATAATTTTCAAAAACTGAATTCCTTTTTGTGGAAGGAATTGTTTACTTGTCTACCTTGTTACTACATGAGATAAGAGCTAAGTTTTATATTTTCCATAATTTGTTTCTTAATCCTTGTAAAGTATAGAAATATGATATCTGAAACTAATGTACCCCTGGCTTTAACACTAGAAAAATGCCATTTCTTATTTCAAATAGTAAAAATATATTTTGTGTGCATTTTTACAACCTCAACTGCACAATCAAGATAGAAATAATTATTTAATAATTGTGGAAAAAGTAACTGGCACAATTTATGAAGAAATTGAAAATTTATGCATACCACTAAAAGCATTTAAAATTCTATTTGTTAGTAAATATTTAAAACAGATTTACTTTGAGACGAAATATCTCCTCATTAACCTTTGTCTTAATTGTTCTGGTATACTTCTTTCTACCAGAATTAAAGCTTACTATAAAAATGCAATTTTCTCCTGGCTAGAATTAAATGAACCTCTGTGATAATGAGCATTAGATTACAACATCTCAATTCTTTCCTATGTGTTGCCAGGCAGGACCCATTTTATTATTGTTTTATGCCCTTGAAAGTACCATTTACATGACTGGGGCAAATTGCATGCTCTCTTTGGAGTCACATATGTCTTGAGCACATAATGAAGAAGTTGGTGTAAATCACGATCCATTAAGTCATATGGACAGGAAGGTATAAACATAATAAAATTGAATAAAATGAACTAGGTATAAATTAATAGGAGTAGAGATGGAAGTTAGGAACTAGACATCATGTAACCACTATCCAATAATGCAAGTCCAGTGTGATTTTTCAAAGGAAATTCAATTTTTATGTGAGTTCTATAAACTTTTAAATTTTGGCAACCAATAGAAATTTACATTTAAAGCATCAGGTGACTAGATTTGATTTATGGGCTGGTAGTTTATTATTTTTGGAGTAAACTGTCTCTAATGTATTTTATGATTCTATCATTCTGAGTCTGATATAATATGATTTATCATCCCTTTTTTTCTGTTGAGTATAATCAAAATCTATTGCTTAATTTCAGAAGCCATGAATTATGGCCAAATTTTTAAAAATTCTAAGTTTTTTAAATATTTTCTTTCACTATTAATTTATATACTTAAACTTCATTCATTTATGATTAATAATGCATCACTACCCCTTCTAATTTAATTTTTTACATCTATTCATAACAAATAGTTGTTGAGTGTCTGAAATTCAAGAATTCTACCTTTCAAAGCTAAATTTACTGTTAATACAATCGACAAAATCACTCTTAAAACAAACACTTGAAATAGGCAGGGTTTAGTAATGGAATTATACAGCTTTACTGATGAAGCCTAAGAAACAGACACCAGCTAGATTGACACTCCCCAGACAAGGATTGCTAAAAGCATGCTAAAGGAAATGGTTATCTCTTTAACAGCTACGGACTGCAAACATTGGAGAGACAAATGGTTTCATATTTTAATAATAACCTTCAGGAAGGGTCTTCACCAAAGGCCCTTTCAAAAGACTTGATTTGAATTGGGTTTGATATCCTGGCATATTCCTGTTGGCAGCTCTGGTTCCTGGGGGAACCAAGGGCAACACTGCTCCCAAGGGCAACACTTCAAACTTTATTGGATATTTTAAACAAAATTCACAGGATTTGACTAAAATGCTATAATAACCTCAACTAATAAATAGAAGCCCAAATGAAATTTCAATTAAAAAATATAGTTATGGGCCGGGCGCGGTGGCTTATGCCTGTAATCCTAGCACTCTGGGAGGCCGAGGCGGGTGGATCATTTGAGCTCAGGAGTTCAAGACCAGCCTGAGCAAGAGCGAGACCCCATCTCTACCAAAAATAGGAAGAAATTAATTGGATAGCT